TTTTAACAACAAGCATTGATATTGGTCAATTCATCAGGAAAAAGAAATCAAAACGCACATCACCTCACTAGCAACATCAAGTTGTAGAAGTACAGGGATTGGTGAAGCAAGAGTAGGAGTTATAACTCCTGCTCTTTCTCGTGCCTTATGATCCAAAACCTCCAACTTAAAAAGAAGACTCTCAAGCCTGTATGTGTGAGAATACCTTACTGATTAGAATACCAAATTCGACTGAAGAATAGAGAAAATTAGATTAAAGCATCAGGCAGCTACTATTTTTGAAAACCGGACACGACAAAATTCAAACTTGAATGCTTGATTGTCTACATATTGCTCAAAATCAAATTCTTCTGCATTTATCAAATTACATTCTAATTAGAAATGAAAACTTAGATTGTGATTATATTGCTGCTGCTTTCGTACAAGCTATTTCTATTGTCATTAATTACTTGATAAAAATGTGGACGTAAAGGGTAGGCAAAATGATTACTTTTCAGGTGCAAGAATCTTCCTCTCTTTGTTGAACTCATACAGCCAGTCCTCATCCTCATTGTCTAGGTCATACTCCACAAATTCTCCGAGCTCGGCCCGAGCTGCAAAACGATAAAAAAAAGTGTCAGCAACACAATACGAACACGAAAATGGCGGTAACAAACGAGTGTGAATTCAACAAAACCTCCTCTAGCGCGAAGGTACGAATTGGGCTGGCCAAAAGTGCGAGAATAGTCCCTCTCATAAGTGTCCACAACAACAAACTGCGGAGTGGGTATTTCAGGAACATATTTCTTGGGCGTGGCGGGAGTCGGGGGTGCCTCCAGTTCAACGGTGGCGTCGGAGGCGAGGCGGATGAGCTGAGAATTGCGGGTGGAAGTTGGGGTATCATCGTCTTCGAAGTCCTTGACGGATTTGACAATGGGGAGCTTCTTGTGGATATCAACAGGGCGAGGCCTGAATGAAAGTCTACTCATTTCGACCTCTGTTCATATCTCTTCAACCCCTTTAAGGTTCAAGGAAAGAGGGAACCAGACAGTGGGGGTTATTAGGGCAAAATTAGGGTTTCGAATTGGGCATGGAATTGGTTGTGATAATTGGAGTTTCGAATTGGGGATGAAGGTTTATGTTCTGGTTGCTAGAGAATGAAGAATTGGGATCGATCAAAACCCTAATTGTGTGCCCTAAAAGAGGAGACGGAGACGGAGACGAAGCCGGAGAGAGGGAAAAAGGTGGTTTGTTCTCGTGTGGGAGACGAACACCTCTGCAGAGAAACCAGCTCGGATTGGATTGGATTGGGTTCAAATGTTTTGGGCCCACTTTTGACTTGAAACTCCCTACATAAAGGCCCAATCATAGCTTGTAGATTAGTAAAATCTTTTGTGGGCCCATTATTGGCCCCTCATATTATTTTCAATATTTTTTATGCAACGATATAAATACACTAAGGGGTTGAAAAATAAATGGGTTGCAAAATCAAAATTCTTGAGATTAGAACGTAAGACTTGTTGGAACATATTTTCCATCTCTCTAGAATAATGGTTCAATTTGGTCCTCATCTCTGCATGAGTCCTACTTATTTCAACGATCATTCCATAATGAGTAAGGCAACCCAGACTATAAAACAATCCACTCCAACTATGGATCGTTACCGAAAGAGGTCCTAAACGAACGCAATGACCGGAGTCCTAAGAGTATGTGGTATGTCACCCTATAAGGTCCAACTAGAGTCCTAAGGAGAGAATGGGTCTACTACCCCATGGACTCTAACCAGAGTGCATATTGTATATTCTCCACTTCATATGCAACCACTCTTCACTCAAATCCCATTAGGTCCTAGTCAGATGCCAACTACTGATCTAATTGGTTATACTGTAGCACTGCAACTGATTTGAGCCATACATCTAACTCCAAAGCTCTAACACTTCAGATAGTTGACTAAAGGCTCTGAAGAAAGTTCTAGACATGCGTATGGTCAGACTGCTCTGAGCCATGCTTCTGACTCTAACTGCTTTGACACTTTAGATAGCTGGCGGTGGGCTTTAGAGATAGGTTCTCACATGTTCCATTTGCTCTGAGCCATGCTTCTGACTCCAACTGCTTTAACCTGTATGACAGTTGGTAGAGTGGCATAGTGTGCACACTAGATAGACTTTGGGCGTCTATAAATAGGCAACTTAACGCTTCATAAAGTGTTGGACACTTCTTTCTCACTTAGAGCATTATGCTCATCTACTCACTCAAATATTGATTTGATCGGACATTTGATTTCACGACCATTTCATTGTCTTTGCTCTTGTAGATTCACCCGACTACTGGAATCATTCACTCCGCCCAAAGAAATAGACAAGAACACAACTTACAAATAACTAACTCAACAGGTGAACAGGTGAAAGACAAATAACTGTTTTCTGAACTCATTTGGTTTTAACTGCTGACTAACATTTATATACATTAAATGGTTCGGTAACAACAAATCTACAAGTAAAAATATGAAGAGGACTTTCCCAAATCAGCAAGTGGAAAACTAACCTATATCTCTATATTGTACAATTTTTTTCTGTGGAAGTTGCCTATCTGCCACAAGAAAGGAAATTCCATCTTTTCATTGTGTAACACATCACTATAAGGAGAAGCGTATGCTACGGGTTTCGGGCATTTTTAATGCTGTTTTTCCTGTTGGGATAGTTCAAAAGCAATATGCATCGAACAAGTGACTCGTTTCTCACTCCATTCGAAATTCAATCCATTCAAAACTATGGTAAAGAAGCTCGACTCTGTACCTATTGGCCCTACTCCATCGTAAAACATCTTCTGATCTGTAACAAGTCTTCTGTCTCCATACAAGTTCAAAAGCAATTTCTCAAAATTTGTGGGGAATGTTGCACGGCTTCAAGGTCAAGTACCAATAACTTGTAAGTGGTTCATCTTTTCAGTCTTCATAGGTAGATGTAACATGTACAAATATTTTCAACAGTATATGAACAAGCCCATAATTAGTTCCCTTCCAATGTGAGCATTTAGTAGTGCAATTAATGGAAATGTGATTTACATTCAAGGTATATGAACCAAACAGGTGCTCTGTTCAGGTTCCTCAACAACACCCAATGTTTTAAAAGGGGAAGGTGAAGCCAAGGTATTTCATGGATAGCCCCGCCTAGGTGAAAGCCTTGAGGTATCGCATCATGGGACCTAAAATTATTAATACATAGTCTAGTTGGAGGGTATCGATTTTAAGCTTAATCCGCTGACTAGAGGCGTTTTCATCACTGCCCCGCCTCCAAAGCCGCCCATGGGCAAGGCTTGTTTTTTAAAACTTTGATAACACCCTTGATAAGATTCATGAGACTTTTAGTTGAGATAAACTGAAATTTAAAGATCTAAAAGTCAAAGGAATTGAGTGGGAAAATTGGAGACATTTGGGAGGGGAATGGGAGAGGAAGATTGAGAAGCCATGGGAGGAGAGAAAAAAACAATTTTGTCGTTAGACTTTAGCTCAGAGATACCATGAAAAAATTTAAGCTAGGGTTGTAAACGTTGATTGCATAAACTCAACTCAATTAATTATGAGTGAGGTATGGACTTCATTATATAGAGATTACAAGATGAGGTTGGTTACAGTATAAACATATCATCTGATTACATTTGAAATTCAAAACTAAGTTACATATGAGTTTTAGATAAGGAAGGATTGTGATTCCTTTCTATTTGTTGAAGAGGTTGAAGAGTATCCAACTTGTGTAGTTGACTTGGAGAGTCCTTTACCATGCATTGCTGACGTGGAGAGAGATCTTGAATATTTGGTTTATCAAGACCAACACGTCAAATTTAACTTAAAATGGGGGTTGAAGAACGGGGATGCAAAAGCTTAAATTGTTAGAAGGTGGAGCTCAGAATTATTTTACATTCTACCAAAAATGCCAATGCTTATGCCAACTGTTGTCCAATTGAGAAAACTTCTATGGCATGAGCATGAGCATGGCATAACAGATGGCATAAGCAAGCTGATTCTATTCAATATTTATATAAACCAGAAGTTCAAGCTCGTACTGCAACAGATTCCAATGTTAAAGCACTATAAGGTTCGTGGCAGTTCAGCTATATCTTAATCAAGACAGAATAACTATGATCAATTATTAGAAAAGCATCTGTTTACAACTATACATGCCTCCAACGATTCATCTTGGATCAAGCAACGTTCCAAAGAGATAGAAGTGCTAAGTTTCTCCAAAATAGAGATTGGAGAAGAATGAGAAGGCATAATCATCTTCATCTGCACAATATCAGTGTTATCACTAATATGATCCTCAAAAATATGTTAGAGAAACAAACAAGTACAGAGTATCTGACTAGAACCTTACCTCGAGATCATTTACCTTGACCTCGAAGTGATCGTATAGATCTTTAAGTTCAAAGCTCGAAGGAATAGACTTGAAAGCTGAAGATAAGTTTATGTGCTTGTCCATAATCTGATGGATGAGATCCCATATCACATCTAGTCATAAGAATTAGGGAGCCTGCTTCAATTGCCTGTCAAAAATTGCATTTAGTTAATTCAATCCTGCATTAAGCGATGAATTTACTTTTTTCTCAACTTAGTTAAATTAATAGCATCAACCGCGGAACATTCTTTCCACAAAGCACATACGCCAAACGAACCAGTTGCCAAAAACTTGAATGATTACTTTGTGGTGAAAGACAGGGTATTGTGACCAATTATGGTTATTATCCTTTGGCAGTCATGTGCATGATGCACGTGGAATGCTGAGTGATCTCGCTTGTTTAAAGTTTATTATAGTTCATTTATGAATTTTTCAGCTGGGTTCCCTCAGCAGGGTTCTCATTTTGAAATGAAAATTTATCTGGCGTTTGAAGAAAGGATGAAGACCAAAGTCCTATGGGGGGTGCACTGTTTTTTCTGTGGTATATGTCGACTGGATGGAAAGGAATCTTCAAAGATCATAAGGGGGGGGGGGGGGGTGGTTTAGAAAAGACTTGGGGCTAGAGTAAGGTTTTGGGCTTCGTCGTGGGCATCAATATCAGAAGAATTGAAAGGCTGCTTCAAGAGATGTTTTTGCTATGAATGTAGATCTCTTTTGTAATTCTAATGTCCTCTGCATCTAGTGTACTTTTTGAGTTGACCAATTGAAATTGTTTGTCTTCAAAAAACAGATATAAGAAGCATTAATATAGTCAAAAGGCGAAAACAAAAATTTTCTGTGGCACATTGATCAGTGGAATTACCGAGTTACGCTGCTCTGATATGGCATCTCTCCACGGAACATTTATGATAATATTGAAGATACTAAAATCCCACACCAGTTTCCTAAGATGAGATAAAATGTATCTGCAAGTAATAACATTGATAACTGATCAATCTATATATGGACAAGAACATGGGATGGGCGTCAAAAATCTGTAAAGGGTAGAGGTTAGCAATGGAACATAATAGTGGCAACAAGAAGACTTACTCAGCTTTTGATAACAATCAACCATTTACATTTTCTATCCCATTTAGTGACAACAGAACCTGCGGCACGTCACATTTGGGGCATCATGGGTCAAAATCCATTGGTTATCCAATCATGAGGCATGACCAGCCGATTCATTGTAGAGAGTCACGTTGCTTGCTGCTACCATCTAGTCGTTATAGCAGAGGTTGTGAGCCAGAGGAGAGGTGCTGAGGTGGTCGTAAATTCATCACAACTACAAGAGATTGATGAAACTTCAAGCCATTACCAAAAGTCTACCCTTTTCAGATGAAGAAGGTGTCCATTCTTTGATATATACACTATATATATTGTTCTTTATCTAATCTCATTGTGAGATCAGTATGATGTGATCGCGAAAATCTGATGATATGTATTTCATCTCTTTGAATCCTGTCTGATTATCACCATTGTCCTCTAGTTATCTTAATTGTTCCAAATATCAAATGGCCATGTCCAACACATTTACCCCTTGCGTCGTTGCTCACTTGTTGTGCTCTGTTTGCATTGAAATGACGAATGAAAAAATTCTTAAATATCTGCCCATGGATCACGACCAGGCATTTCGTTGCAAGGGGTGACGATGCATGCTTCATCATTGAACTCATATACAATGATTGTGAGGGGGAGAATAGGTGCGTAGTTGGTCTTCAATTAGAATAAGTCTTCCGAAACATAAGAGATAATGATCTTCAAGACATTACCATTATGTACATATTTACTATATAGTTCTTCATCTAACTATTTTGTAAATATGATGTGATTATAACACATAATCTTTCTTCTTCATTCATCAAATGACGATATTTCTTTGAAAACTAATTCTTTGTTGACCAAGTGGTCAGCGATTTTGTAAACAAATGTGGTAAACATATCACTCTAATTCATAAAAAATGATCATGAACACATAATCGTATCAAAAATTCAAGGGACAAATTGACTTTTGAACCAGCAGATATGTGAAATCTACAAATATACGCTAACATAGCTGCCATAAGAACTTGTCTATTACAATAACGGGCTAACTTGTTTATACATGAGTAGAAAACTAAGTTGCAAACAGTTCAAACAAGAAAATCTTAACATTGCCCTTTTAACTTGTAAATTTGCTACATCAGTGCAAACAAACCTCTCCATCTGAAACTAGTAGAATGGAAATATGTGGTCATCTGCTACGATTGTGGAAAACCCGCAAATCAATGTCCTCGTTAGTTTTTTGCCATTTAAAGTTTTAACAGTGCTGAAATGATCAACTTGATATTGGCCAACAATATATCTGCTACAGGCAGCTTAAGCTTAACATAGCTACCATCAGAACTTGTCTATTACAATAACGGGCTAACTAGTTTTTACATGAGCACATAAAAAGGTTGCAAACATCAAAATAGAAAATCTTAACATTGCCTTTTTAACATGTAACTTTGCTACATTAGTTGAGACAAACCTCTTCATCTGAAGCTATCAGAATGTAAATATGTGGACATCTGCTACGATCTTGGAAAACCTACAAATCAGTGTCCTCGTTAGTTTGTCACCATTTAAGGTTTTAACAGTGCTGAAATGATCAACTGGATATCAGCCAACAATATATCTGCTATAGGAAGCTTAAGCTTAACTAGTTTAGCTGCTTATCCAAACAACTTTATGACACTAGTAGAACTTTAAGGAAAAAAAACAGACAAACTTGTAAGGTTTAGTTCAATGTTCTTTTTTTAGAACAATTTCAATTCTAAGCTGAAGGTCAAAATTTAACTGGTTCCCGGGCTTTGAGATTTTCAAATTTTACGGGTAACTGTAGATTGAGCTCACTAGTTTTAAACAATGCAACAAAGATACCCATACATACCACGTTGTCTGAATGAGGATCCATGACATTTCTTAAAACATGTTACCAATTTGCGTGTTGTTTCATCCACCTGATGATGTGTGTATTTCTCTTTTGAGAAACGGAAAGACTGTGGTGCAGAGCAAGTTTTGAACATAGTGGATTTTCCTAACCCTTAATTGTGATTCACTAATACTAGCTTCAAAATTTTGTATGATCAAGCTACGAAGTAATGAAATTCTATGGTAGAAGATAAACATCATAAGATATGTTCTGGTGTACTATGACCTTAAGTTTGCAGCTGCAAAGATATGGAAAATTGGTAATTAATGTAGTGACATGGAAACTTTATTTCTTTAATATCTTCTTACCATCCCTTAATTTCACTTTGGTTGCCCATTTGTTCATTTTTGTTTTAAATTTCTTAAATTAAAAAAAAAAAAAGAAAAGAAAAAGAAAAAGTGTTTCGACAACTGTATATTTTTTACAAAACCAAGACCCCGGTTCAAAGTCCAAACAAATTTCTAGCTTCACCCTTCAATCCAAAGTTGTCGTGTTGTTGAAAACCATATATAGAAATTTAAAGTTACAAAACAAGATGTCATAAAGACATTAAACCAACAATGAATAAACAAAATTACAACAAATATTGCCTAAAATTCCCAAATGCCTTCACATTAAGAGTTGGTTTGGTATTACTATGCTTTGAAAAAAAGCTGATTCTGCTGTGTTGTGAGAATAAGCAGCTGTGAAATAAAGCAGCATAGTATTTGGAAAACTTTTTTGTAAAAGTGCTTTTGAAAAAAAAACGCAGCATTACAGTGTTTGGTAAACTTTATGTAAAACAGATGTGAAAAAATGCCGGTTTTTCAAAGCTGGGTTTTGCAGCTTCTTGTTTTTGGCTTTTTTTCACCCAAAAATGTGAAAAAAAGCTGAAGCTAAATGTTTACCAAACACAAAAACACCTCCCAGCTTTTTTTGATACCAGCTTTTTTCAGAATCACCTTAGTACCAAACCAAGCCTAAATAGGGAATTTCTCAAATCCATGACATCATCACCTCCTCCAAATCCCATCTGATCTCCCACAATCCTCATTATCTAACTAGTCTCTATAGAGACCAAGTTGAACCTTTTAAATTTTTTTTTGAAGAAATGGCCATGTCCAAAACGATTACACTTTGCATCCTTGCTGTCTTGGTGTGCTCCGTTTTCATCGAAACAGTGAGTGCAAAATCCATTAGTTATCCAGTCATGAGGCACGACCAGCCCATTCATTGTAGGGAGTCAAGTTGCTTGCCACCGCCATCTAGTCGTTATCGCAGAGGTTGTGAGCCGGAGGAGTGGTGCCGAGGTGGTTATAAATTAAAATAAATCTTCACAACCACAAAAGAATGATGAAACTTCAAGCCATTACCAAAAGTCTACCCTTTTCAGCTGAAGAGGGTGCCCATTCTTTTATATATATATATATATATATATATATATATATTGTTCTTTATCTAATCTCATTATGAGATTAGTATGATGTAACCACGAAAATCCCCTTATTCATTACTAATTAATTCATAATTGTTCCTAAATACAATCAAGTTCAGCTTTCCTTTTTTATTATCCGCATCAATGACTGTTACACGAATCTAGCAAATATTGAATTCAATACAAGACGTGTAGCGAAAAGCTATTCAGTTTCGTTGTTTCTAAACAGGCAATATATTTGGAAGAGCAATATATGACTCTAGACTAAGAACTAGTTGATTCTTATTAACCAAGTTTACATGTCAACTCGATCTCGTATTCAGGTAACTAGGTCGCCAGAAGAGATATAACTCTAGACAAGAACTAGGTTATTGTTGGTAACTAAGTAATGACATCTGCCCATGGATCACAACCAGGCGTTTCATTGCAAGGGGTGACGATACATGCTTCATCATCGAACTCATATGATTGTGAGGGGGAGAACAGGTGCGTAGCTTGCCTTAAATTAGAATAAGTCTTCCGAAACAAAAGACATAATGATCTTCAAGACATTACCATTATTTACATATTTACTATATAGTTTTCATCTAACAATTTTGTACATATGATGTGATTATAACGCACAATCCTTTTCTTCATTCATCAAATGACGATAGTTCTTTGAAAACTAATTCTTCGTTGACTAAGCGGTCAGCAATTTTGTAAACAAATGCAGTAAACACATCACCCTAATTTGTAAAAAGTGAGCATGAACACGTACTCGTATCAGAAATTCTAGGGACGGATTGATCTTTGTAACAGGTGGATATGTGAAAGCTACAAATATACGCTAACATAGCTACCATGACACACCCCGACCGAAATCAAGGCATGCGGACACTAGAAAATTCTCATGTGAGTTCTCAGAAACAAAATTGTGAGGGCATGGTTGGGGCCCAAAATGAACAATATCGTGCTACGGTGGAGTCGAGCCCGGGATGTGACATACCATCAGAACTTGTCTATTACAATAACAAGGTAACTAGTTTATACATGAGCACAGAAATAGGTTGCAAACAGTTCAAAATAAAAAATCTTAACATTGCTTTTTTAACATGTAACTTTGCTACATCAGTGGAGACAAACCTCTCCCTCTGAAACTATCAGAATGTAAATATGTGGTCATCTGCTACGATCTTGGAAAACTCGCAAATCAGTGTCCTCATTAGTTTGTCGCCATTTAAGGTTTTAACAGTGCTGAAGTGATCAACTGGATATCAGCCAACAATATATTTGCTACAAGCAGCTTAGTTTAACTAGTTTAGCTGCTTATCCAAAAAACTTTATGACACTAGTAGAACTTTAAGGAAAAAAAGCACACAAACTTGTAAGGTTTAGTTCAACGTTCTTGTTTTAGAACAATTATACTTCTAAGCTGAAGGTCAAAATTTAATTGGTTCCCGGGCTTGAGATTTTCAAATTTTACGGGTAACTGCTGATTGAGCTCACTAGTTTTAAACAATGCAACAAATATACCAATACATACCACGTTGTCTGAATGAGGATCCAGGACATTTCTTAAAACATGTTACCAATTTGCATGTTTCTTGTTTCAGCCACCTGATGATGTGTGTATTTCTCTTTTCAGAAACGGAAGGACTATGGCGATGGAGGAAGCATTGAACATAGTGGATTTTCCTAACCCTTAGTTGTGCTTCACTAATACTAGCTTAAATATTTCGTATGATCAAGCTACGAAGTAATTAAATTTTGTGGTAGAAGA